TATAAACAGCACCTTTCATATTGGTGAGTTATTTTGATGGAATGACCATGTCCAAGCTTCAACTTCATCGCTAATATCGTCCGATACCAACACCATGCTGATAATATCGTGCATCCCTATATTCCATGCAGTGGTTAATGAGATATTTTACTAAAAGACAACCAGGGTTGACTCAAACAGTTGATACTAAAATTTTAAACAAACATCTTGCACTATCTGTCAGCCCAAAACATATCTGTTGGGAATCAGTCTCAGCTACTACCACACCTAATGTCTGGTGACTATTTGTCAAACTGACTGAGTTATAGTAGTTTTTGTGATTTTTAAAGGTCAGTTGGCTGTAGCAGCCATGTAGAGTCGGTTTGACTCCAAAATCGAACCAGCTGTAGACGTTTAACCAATATTTACTTTCTGCAAGTTGCCTTACAATTTGTCCAGTGGTTTGTTAGATATAAGAACAAGCTACAATTAGATGAGATGTCAGTGGAGTGAAGAGGTAAAGTTTATATCTTAGCTTAGAAAACTAAAGTCTATAGTATAGTCTATTACATAAATGTCAGGGACAGTCCAGAGGTTTTTTTTGGGGGGGTGGGGGGGGTGGGGTGGAGTGCAGGATCTGCAGGTATATGAAACTGACATCAGCTGGATGTGTCCTTTTTCTCTTACATCAGCTCCGTTTTGTGTATCTCGGCAATCCGGCGCTCCAGCTTCTCCGAATGTTTGGGAAAGAACTGGAACTTGGAGCTGTAACCTTCTGGGTGCTTCCCAGGGTCGTAATCGCCAATCTCAGCTACAGGAAGAACCGTCGGAAAAGGAAAAACAATTAGCTGCCGAACATATTCACACACACGAGAGAGGCCTGCCTACACACTGCCAGGATGTGTTCCTTCATGCAGTCCCTCAGATGACCCTGATGCTGATTTCTCTCTGCAAGGAGAAGCTGAAGAGGCGGCCCATCTTTAATTTATCAGCACCTCCTCCAGAGGACGAGCCTCCTCTTCTGTGCGTCTGTGTGTGTGTGTGGTGAGAGACAACAGACAACCTAATGAAACCATACACCTAGACCTTACATACCTTGCATCCAGAATTGTGTTTGAGCAGCCTTAATGCAATTTATATTACAGTAGAGATTAATTTATGTTTAATCTGAACCAGATAAGTCTAACCATATAAACACAATATAATACATGATATATGATACTTATACATCATATAAACTTATATATTTAACCATATACATATCTATAACCACAACATCAATAAGTTACTAACAAAACAAGTAAGAAAAGCCCATTCCAACCAAGAATTTATATAAACATATCTGCTCCTGCATCATTTAAATGTGATTTACACAAACTCAAAAAAAAAAAAAAAAAAAAATCCACAGAAAATCTTTTAGCTGGGCTGACAGCATTTATTAGCTCAGAGACCTACTATGGACTATAATAAGACCGGGACTGAGAGCAGTGAGAAGCAGAGATGTACAAGTCATTTCCATCTGTCTCTTCTAGTTACCTTGAAGGATGTAGGCAGCCAGCATGGCTGCATCCGAGGTTTTACACAGGAGACGCCCGTGGTAGAGGTCCCTCTTGAGTTGCAGGAAGACCAGATAGCTACAGAGGATGTAATGATGTTAAAATATCCTTTCATGCAGATATGCCTCTAAATGAAAGCACAAGGAGAACACAAAGCACTGCAACAAACTGAAATCATCTCAAATGCTCACATTCCCTTTGGGTGGTTTGGATGTTTTCTTTTGATTTAGCTGGAATGAGGGTTTTGTTTTGGACAGAGGGTCGTAGAAAAGCCCTGCAAGAAAAGCTCTTTGCTCCAGTTTCCAGTTTCAGATTCAGCCACTGAGCTTCTGAAGCATGGCCTTTAATGGAGACATTTATAGCAGCAAAGATGATGGTAATGACAGTGGTGCTGACTGTAATTTCTTTCCTATCATTAAGCAAGCTAAGAGTTATGAACCCTACAGTGTAACAACTGAACATATAGACATGCTGTACTGTGAAATGTTGACTTTTAGTTTAATTAAAATTTATTTTATGTGTTTTCTTTTATATAAGGCTGTTTTAATTTGCTTTTCAGACCTTTATTATGCAATGTGAATGCTGTTGGGCTTTATTGATTGTACAGCACTTTGGCTCTGTGGTTGCTTAAAGTGTTTTAGAAATAAAGCTTGTGGTAAGGTAAGGTAAGGTAAGGTAAGGCATGACATGATGTTATGATATGATATGATATGATATGATATGATATGATACGATACGGTACAGTACGGTACGATACGATGCGATGCCATGCCATGCCATGCGGGGCATGATATGATATATGATATGTTATGGTATGATATGGGTATGGTGTGGTATAGTATGGTATGATATGATGTGATATGATATGATACGATATGATATGGTATGATATGGTATGGCATGGTATGGCATGGTATGATATGATATATGATATGGTATGATATGATATATGATATGGTATGATATGTGTAACCCGCAATTAGACAAGGACTTTGTGGGCCCACTTCCTGTGTTGCCCCAAACTCTGCTAACTTATTTAAAGCCCCGCCTCCAGCGTGCAGTTCTGAACATCTTCACCTGTTTCCACTGTGATTGTGGCTTGCTGCTGGCGTCTTCCACCCAAACTGGTCCAAATCTTTGAACTTACTGATTTGATTGCCTGGTGAGTTGTTATGAGATAGCAGTATTGCTTTTATATGTGAAACTTCTGCTCGATTGCTCATTAGAGCATTGTTTTATTAGAATTGTTGGCGTTGGTTACCAGGGATGTCAACTGGATTCTGTCACAGCTGATTGTGGTTAAGTACGCCCCACTCTCTCTTGAAAAGGTACCTTGTTGCTGATTTTGTGCATGTTCTGGCACGTTTGTATTGATGCTGAAGAAATGAAGTTTAAAATGAAATTAATCAGAACAGAATGTAGCTACACTTAAGTTGATATTGCGCAGTATATTTATTTATTTTCTTTCTCTCACTCTGCTTGAGTATTTGACAATTAAGTTATTTTATTTTTCTTTATTTTTGAAGTGCACTTTGACTTTAACTTTGACTTTAACTTTGACTTTAACCTTGACTTTAACTTTAAATTGATAATCTTAAATTGAATAGCTTCAAATATGATTGATGCTCATTTTTGTTTTACTTTATTTAAATTATGGTTAATTTAACCTTGATTATTGAGATGTTCGATCATGTCAAATTATTAGGAATCTATGCATAAACCAATGCCTAAATTTAATTATTTCATTTGTATGTTGTACATGATTGTTTTTGATAAAATACTTAATGGGTTCTTCTGACCTTTTAGGTTGTTTTTTTTTTTCTCCCTCTTGTTGGATCAGATCCTCATCCGGATCTGAAGATGGCGAGCTAGGAAAAATGACAATGGACTTTATGATTTTGGAATTAATTTATTCTGAATCAATGATCTCGTCTCATCATACTGTTGTTATTGTTTGTTTTTATTCAAATCACTCAATATATATACACCAAAACTAAGAACACTGCCTCCTGTTTTCATTCACACCCAGGCTCCTTAAAAGGACAATCTTCTGATGCTGCTTTTGTAGCCACAGTTAGCTGCCTAGCCCATAACTGTTACATACAGTATGCTATGTTATGGTATGATATGATATATGATATGATATTGGTATGGTACGGTATGGTATGGTATGGTATAGTATGGAATCTGGATCCGTGTTTTGAACCTGTATGCTCCACACTGGTTTGTCGTCATTATCCGCATCGTATTTATGTCTATATTTCTAATTTACTTCATTTTGTATTTTGCTTTGTGTGTCACCTGTTGTTCTGTCTGTACAGCACTTTGGTTGGCCTTGTCGCTGTTTTAAGTGCTCTATAAATAAAATGGTATGGAATGGTATGGTATGGTAAGGTTTGGTATGGTATTGAATGGTAAAGTATGGTATGGTATGATATGTTATGGTATGGTATGGTAAGGTATAGGTAAAGTATGGTATGGTATATGTAATGGTATGGTACGATATGTTATGGTATGGCATATTTCATATCTTAGATCGTATTACTGTTTTTCTTTTACATTTTATAATTTTGTTGAATGTAACTGGGACCCTGTGTACACAATTTAGTTCCGCCACATGTACCAAATGTGTATGGCAAATAAGGAAACTCTGACTTTCTGACTCTGGCAAGGCATGGTATGTTATGTTTGGTATGGTAAAATTGTAAGAAAGTCTGTTTCTGTAGAAGCAAAAGAGAAAAATTGAGAATGACTCAAAATCGTTGTACAGTGTTGTACATTCTTCTCCCAACAGCATGCACAAACAGCCTCAGCTCTCACAACAGAATGATACATTATAAATGTGACAAAGAAATTATTTATATATTATAATAATTGCAGTATGTTAATGACTGTTTTTACATTATTTAAATCAAATATGAGCTAACACACACACATACACATCATTAATCGTCACTCTCAGTACCTAATAATTCGGTTCCTAAATGTCAGAAAATGCTTGTGTTTTCTCATCAATGAGAGGTAAAGCCATTTGATGTAAAACAGGCCTACCTGTCTATATTTTTGTGTTTGTTTAGCATCCAACTCCCCTCTCAGAGTGTGCAGTGCGGCCTGAACGAATCCTGCAGGCAGCTGAATATTTATCCTCTCCCACCCTCCGTGCTCTGACCTCTCCACTGTCATAATCATGTATCACTTTGTCCTCCTTCCTCCCACTCCTTCTTTGCCTTCACACTTTCAATCAGCCCTCCTTGCCCCTTCCATCTCCATCATCCACTCGGCTTCATTATATACACTCTGCGTGTGGCGAACCTGCATCTCATTACACCTCAAACACAGAGTGGGCTCCTCTTCTTCCAGTCAGTAATAAAAGCATAACATTCACCTAGCTGGAGACTTGCAGCATTATCTGATGGGAAAATAAACTCGCTACTTTCACCAATTTCTGCTATAAAACTTCCAAAGAAATTATTGACATAACTCTATTGTGAAAGAGTCACTGTGTAGAAAAAGTGTATTCATTAGTGTCTAAAAAAACATGCACAATGGTGCTTTTATTGCTTTATCTATTATCTTATAGAGGTTCTAGGAAAGGCTTTAGGCGATCCTCACTGCCCCACAGCACCTCTTAAAAGCTGTGTTCTGTGTCAAATTTATTATAATGCTTTAGAGTCAAGTACTCATTTTAATTATGAAACAGCCATAAATAATGTTTCAGACAGGAGCCTGTTTGCTCTGTCTGAATGTTTCACTGTTCTGTGGTTAAAAAGCAAAAGAATAAAAAACAACAAAAGGCTGGTTTTGAAGGTTTGTCAAATGATGCAAGACTCTCTAATGAAGTCTCTTTGTTGATCCTGAAAACTGAAGAAAATGTAAATTATAGCTGTGGAAGCGATGAATGGAATAAGAAGGCCTTTTCACATACCGAGTGATTTCCTCTTTGAGAGAAGCAGGATCGGGAGGGTAGAACTTGACTCTCAGACACATGGTGAACGGAGGCTGAGCTACAAGAGAAAACAGTAATGAGGAGAGGGGCAGGAACCCTGTGATTTCATCAGAACAGATCTAACAGAAAACAGCAGAACCAAGATGAATTTACATCACTGCCTGACTGTGTGACATCAAGAGAGCAGAGCTGCTGCTTATATCAAAGTTTCTGACGTGTGGCTCTCTTTTTAAATATCAACATGAAGCTCAAGAGGAAGAGTCGATCACACGCTCTTCATGCAGACACGCTACTGAAAAGTTTAACTTAATCTAAGCAGGGTTTAGGTTTATGAAATATCTGCAGTGACTGTACTTTTTGTTTTTCTCTCAGACCTTCGAATGCCTGCAGAAACCAATCTGCTCACAGATTCTGCCCTGTTGCTCTCCCTGTGCCACTCGTGCAACAAGAGGCCAAAACCCACCCACCTGACTGCCACTGTGATGTCTGTTTTATGCCAGTCCTGAGGTCCAGAGCGGCCAGTATAAAGAATGTGAGAAGGGCGATAAAGCTCCGATGCTCAGAAACTATGCTGTCTACATCATTTTTTTAGTAATTTATTAAGGGACACATATTACATGTTAATATTCTACACTTTAAAGGACAAAACAGATAAATTATACAACTATCTGCAAGCACAAAAAGTAGCAGTATCAGCTAGTTGTAGAACTTTCAGCCTGAAGCACTTGCTGCAGGCATGGAATGCAAAACTGATGATAATTTAAAAAATTATAAAATTGTGCTCACATGAAAGATTTTTGAGCAACCCTCTTTACTCCCAACCAATCTGGACTAGCCACCAGCCAGTTAGAATCAAACTCTACTGGGTGTTAACAAAAGCTATCTACAACAAGTAAGATATTGTTTGTTCATAATCTTTCCACAGAGCCCCTCTTCAAAAAAAATTTAACTAAACTTTTAATAGTTTTCAATAACTCAACTCTACTTTACATAGGACTGACTAAATTATAATCATCTCATACATCTAAATCACTCTCATTTAAATAGATAATTATTAAGAGACACTCACATTTCAGCTGCTTCGCAATAGATTTGGTGAACTCCAACCAGTGCTGCATGAGAAAGAACACGCAAATGTGAAAACATTAATTTCACAAACCACAGCAGAAAATCCACACATCATCTGATTAAGCCAACACTTTCACTCTCAGTTCCCATGATGTTTAGCTGTTACTACTGACAGTTTTCTGGAGAAACCTGTTCATTCCACACATGGTGTCATAGCAGTGCTGATTGTGTGGCGTGAAATGTTAAAACATCAAACAGAGCCTCTCTGTCGGGTTTTCTTTAACAAAACCCACTTTTTCAGTTTTATTGTGATTTTCTTCTCTGAGATATTAGTTGTTCTGCATTTTTCTACCAGTTTGTCTCTTTTCTAGCCACAGAAACAATCACCAAAATAGCCCTAAGTGACAGCACTGAAACTGCAACATCAGCAACATCTGGATCTCATCTGCAAAACCACAACATTTTCCTTCAGAAAACAGGCAGAACAGCTACAATGATGTACGTTGAACAGAATCTCATTATTTGACAGCATCATATTTGTATTCTTTTGGTGAGTTTTTGAAAACTTTGTTTTTATGTAGAAGATGGACTAAACATGTCAGTAAAAGTATTTAACAAACAGGTTCTACTTTTGAAACCCGCTGTCTAATTATTGTAATTGCAAGTTATTAAAGCAATAGTTCAGATCTTTAGAAGTGGGGTTATGTGCAAAAGTTATGGACAACTGATAACGTCTTTGAGCCTTAGTTTAGAGAGCAAAGGAGATACATTTTGACTGGATTAACAGGTTAATGGCTTGACTGGTGCCAAAATAAAGTGGTTCTTAAAACAAGACAAATCTTTAAAAAAATCCATCCATCCAACCATTATCTTTTACCCGCTTCTTCCTTTTTGAGTCACAGGGGGTCACTGGTGCCCATGTCCAGCCATCACTGTGCAAGGGGTGGGATACATCCTGGACAGGTCTCCGGTCCATCACAGGGACACATAGAGACAAACAACCATTCACTCTCTCACTCACAGCTAGTGACAATTTAGAGTTACCAATCAGTCTAACATGCATGTTTTTGGTCTGTGGGAGGAAACTGGAGTACCCGGAGAAAACCCACGCATGCACGGAGAGAACATGCAAACTCCACCCAGAAAGGCCCCTGGACCGGGATTTGAACCAGCAGCCTTCTCGCAGCTCTACCAGTTGTGCCACCGTGCTGCCCATCTTAAAAATAAATAAATAAAAGATTGAGACTGTAGAGGTTTAAGCAAATGCTATTTTCTAAACCTTTACCTAGACATCAATTTCACATTAGAAGGTTATAAATTCAAGCAGAGGTCTGAGGTTCTTTGCAAGTGTAAACTGGCAGCAGCAGCTCGCTTTTAACAAAAACACTTTAATATTTCTGCTGGAATAACGTAGTGCTTGAATGAACCACTATAAAACTTTCGAGACAAGATTTTATAAGACGGCAGTACAGTAGTCCCTTGCTACTTTGCAGTTCGTTTTCATGGACTCGCTCGATCACGGTTTTTCAGAGGAGAATTGGACACGACACACAATTGGCTGATTGATGGATGAGCCGCACAATCTGTATGGAATTTTTTTATTTAAAATAAATTACTTTAAATGATTTAGCACCTGCTGCATCTTTGTGCAGTCTACAACTGCAGGAGAAAGCTCCTGCAGCTGATCAGCTGATCTCTGTGCAGAGGGAAGAAGTGGGCGTGGCAGAGTGCAGCCGATGCAGAGAGCTGAAATCATGACATCCTATTTATATACTTACTACTTGCACTACTATTCCTACTTGGCGGTTTTTCACTTATCACGTGGTTTCAGGGTACGGATCCTCCGCAATAAACGAGTGAACTGTAATCAGCTTTGGTCATAAAGTCACTCTGGCAAACGGTTAGCTTGTTAATCCGGATAAAATTTAACTCTTGTCTCCAAAATGAGGGCATTCAAAGAGATCTCATCAACTGGTAAGATATTGTTTGTTCTTAACCTTTTCACAGAACCCCACTTCAAAAGATTTGAGCTGTCCCTTTAAGTGACTTGAACACACATCATCATTCCTAAATTTGGGCTAAAGATTTGCTAAACTGGACTCTTCACTGAGTCTAATGATATTCTCATAACGCCTTGCTGTTGTGAGAAAAAAAATATATAACAAACCCCAGTTTTCTAGGTAAAAGCCCAACCACTGACTTCAAATTGTTGTCACAGCTGGTGAAAAACTGACATTTTATGCCTTTTATTGTTTCAGCGTGAAACAAAAGCTTTGAAGGCTGCTCCATTCATGAAAACTGCCTTTGTGTTCTCATTTGGCACATTCTCATTCATTAAAAGCTTAGAACATCTTTCACTGGACAAAAAATCAACAAATGCATCAAAGGCACAATGATTTATCAGTATTTTTAATGTACATCTAAAATATAATTTACATTGCCGGTAAAAAAAATAAAACCAGTTATTGTTAGGCTGAAAGCTGCTCTATACAATTTGTCTGCATTTTAACAAAACATCACAGGGGCTTAAAACACAATGCACTGCTGCAGCAGATTTTCATTGTTTGTGACTGAAAACGTTAACATTAATTCATATTTTAAAAATATTAATAGGAAAGAAAATGAGTAAAGTGCTCATATACACACCATGTTCACACAAACACTCACTCTTACCCGCTGCTTGTCTGGGTCCACATATCTGATGCCAAAATAGTCTTTTTCTAGTAAGTTCAGGTGGTGGCAGATGAGGTCAAACAGATATTGTCCCTTTGCATCCCGCTGCATATAAAAAGAGGAGAAGAAGAAAATTCAACGACTCTGCCAACAGTAATTAATCATCAATGTGTCTGATCGACAGGGTCAATAAATTTATATATTAATGGTGTTTCCTTTTGAAACTCTTAACACCAGATATTTGAGGCTTTTTCTACTACAAATACCATATTTCTTGGACTATAAGATGCACGGGATTATAAGGTGCAATAAGCGAAACAAAACAGTCAGATAAGTCAAATTTTATTCAACTCATTCACAATAACTCTCAACATTGTTCAGTTGTATCACATAAAATCAGTTTGAGGTCAGTAAGCACAACCAGAATTAATAAGGTGCACCAGATTATAAGGCTCACTGTCAATTTTTGGGTAAATTAAGTATTTTACGTGTGCCTTATAGTCTGAAAAATACGGTACACAGCCAGAGCCATCTGAAGTGTTTGAAATATACCCAGGTATGCAGCTACAAGAAGCAAAAATAAAATAAAAAAAGGTTTAAAAGTGTATCACTGGTGTGGTAATATGACAAACTCTGAATTTTAAGTCAACCTTCACTTTAATCCTTGCACACTGGATCAGATTTTTTTTTAAACAGCCATCAAACATGCTTGTATAGACCTCATCGGTTGCCAGGTAAATAAAATGCAGCAGCTGCTACAAGCAGCTCACCGTAGCCTAGTATTTTATAGCAAAAATGCTCTATGTGATTTTAAACACACAGATTCTTCTAAGGCTTGTTTGTTATATTATTTTGTAAATTAAACAATTATAGATATGTTTGTTTTGTTCTGTTTTATTGTCCAAAAGAAAGTAAAAACTGGTGCAGTATATCCACCATCATTTGCAACATTTTAAACTGGGTAATTCTAACGCTGCAGCAGAACACAGAAGATGACCACAGGGATTACCAGACTCAACCAACTTTACTAAAAAGCAGCAAATAAAGAGGTCAAAGTGTCAAATTGTAAGATTAAAGTAATATTGCAAACATTTTAAAGAGCGCTTGTAATAAACAAATAACAACAACTATCACAGATGGATGTTTTCTTTGTAACTTTTCTTCTTCTTTTTTTGTGGCTTTTTTAAATTGCTCAAAGTGCTTCTATTTTTCACCACGAGTTGTTTAAAACTAAAACACATGTAAAGAGTTTATGCAAAAACAAGTTTTAATTTATTGATTCTTCTGTCATAGATGTATAATTGTCTTGATTTATTAATTAAAGAGTTTAATAAGCCTCCCTGGATTATCTTCTCGCTCTGTGCTGGTTTGATCCAGCAGCTGAATCCTGGACAGCGCTCTCCTTCCTGCTGTCGCTCATTCTGCAGATAACAGGCACTTAATTAGGACAAAGGTCTGTCAATACTGCAGTGCTGTTAAACCACCCTGACGATTTGTGACCAAAGGCTGACTGGAGCTCTGCGACTCGAGGGGGTGGCTGACCTTTTCTGTAGCGAGACCAAGGGGCATCGTGGGTGCACACCACTGTCACTTCAAGATTAATACTCGGCTGTAAAACCCCAAACCAAGCTGACGTGCTTGATAACTAACAGGACCTACAACTGTGGCGGCCCACAATCACTGGGTGTGCAGGTGCATGTAGGATTCTGTGTTTCAGAAACAACCCATACATTTAAAATGTTTAAGCAAGTTTCAAATCATGTTTTTTTTTATTATACTGCAGTAATCCTTGCTGGGAAACTCACACTTCCAACAGTATTTTGTTTTACAGTAAATTTCAAAAATTTCAATGAATTAAGAGATAAAAATGGAACTATATATTGTTTCCCTATAGACTATCCAAGCTTATGTTTAAACAATTCTGATGAATCAAGCCTATTTTTATACAAGTTTATTATCCGTTCGTTATGTAACGTACAGTATAATCCACACACGAAACATTATTTTTGAGCAAAATGTAAATTTCCTCTTGATTTTATCAGTAAACATCACTTAGCAGTGAGAGCAGTATAAACCTAAATGTGTTTCAAACAGTTGTGCAGGAGAGAACACGCTGAATCAGAAACAACATCTGGTCTTTTGTTGGAAAAAACGGCAAGTTTATTACTAATCAACAGCACTCCCATCAGCCCCTCTTTCTCTTGGCCGTGCTGCCTGCACTGCACCACCCCCACCACCCTGTCTAATTACAAAGTTAAGTGATTGCAGGAGACAAAGGATGTCCTGAAATGAAAAAAATGAAGACTGTTGGAGTCTAGATGGAACAAAACAACACATTTAGTTGGATTTTCATGTTTGGATTATGTTATTTTCAAATTTATTAAATTTAATTAAATGTTGCCTCAAAGTAAACAACAAAGGAGCAAATGGTCGTTTTTCTTATTTTATGTACGTTTTCATATTTCCCGTTTGTTGATGATGCTTTTATGCAAAATAAATAAATGATCTGATTGAAAAGTATCATCACTATTTATTTAATCAAGTGTTCTTCTAAAAACACTCTTTCGTTGTTGAGCTCAATGGTAAAACCTTTTCTACTAATTTATAAGGATTTTCAATTTTATTTATGTTTTAATTGTAGTTTTTATTAAATCATTTATAGATATTTTTTAGAATCCAATTATTATAATATTTTTAAGTTTTTTTTATTAATAATAAAATCTATATTAACAGCAACAAAAAACACATGTAATATAGTTTTTTTTTTAAGTCTGAACATTTTAAAACAAATGTTGTTGGCACCCACTCAGGTGTAAATATCATTTCCTCTACTGATAAATGAATGCTGAGATTCATCAATGATTATGCAGCTTCAGACATAACTCAAAATTAGCCATACTAAATGTTTTCTAACATTCAAAGTTCAAAATGGATACGTTTCTTTGGAAGAATCATTAAAAAAAGTCTCCATGTCACCACAGGAGCTCAGAACATGAATAAAACATCGTTTCACTTTATAGTGAGAGGAGAGGAAACACGATGCCGGTGACTGTGACGGTGTGCATGGGCCCAGTTCTACTGTGGAGCTAAAGGTACCTTAAGCCTCGAGGCAATTTATTTAGTTTCTTGAACAGATTTCTTTCATTTGTCCCAAGAGACAGACTGACATGTCAAACTGAGTCAGGATCCTGATGGAGCTGCTGGGATTTGAAAATCTCTACATGGCTTTTTCAGAAGGGACAAGAAGCAAAAGAGCACAAAAAATAAAAATTAATTCACTCCAACTTTATGCATTTGTATAACAAAGTTAGGTGTAAGACATACCTCTCTGTACTGCAATATACCCTTTCACACACATATATTCAATTAAATTCTGTTACGTACTTTAAAGCAGGCATCTAGAAACCAGGAGAGAAAATGGCGCTCTACAACTAATGTTGAAGAATTTTATTTAACTTGGAAAGATAGTCTGCTAACATATAAAAAAGCTCTCCCTAAAGCTAGAACTTTATATTACTCATCTTTAATAGAGGAGAATAAAAACAACCCTGGGTTTCTGTTTAGTACTATTGCTAGACTAATTAAAAGTCCCATTTCTGTTGAACCATGTATCCCTACAACTATAAGTAGTGATGACTTCATGAGATTCTTTATAAATAAAATGATTTCAATTAGAGAGAAAATTCAAACCATCCTTCCTTCTACTATCTCTAGTCCCCTGTCAAATGAGGCAACTTTAAAAATTTTACAAGAGCCTGATTTATGTTTGGACAGTTTTGTCCTGTTGAGCTCTCCGAATTATCAAAAATAATAACCTCATCCAAACCATCCACATGCCTGCTAGATCCCATCCCAACCAGACTGTTTAAAGAGGTATTTCCCCTAATTAATGTCCACATTTTGGATCTACTTAATTTGTCTTTAATGGATGGTTATGTACCACAGCGCTTTAAGGTTGCTGTAATTAAACCTTTACTTAAGAAGTCTGACCTTGATTCAGAAATTCTGGCCAACTATAGACCTATATCTAATCTAACTTTCATCTCAAAAATTCTAGAGAAAATAGTTGCAGGTCAATTGCATGAACATCTACAAAGAAATAATCAGTTTGAAGAGTTTCAGTCAGGGTTTAGAGCTTATCATAGCACAGAAACAGCACTAGTAAAAGTAAATAATGCTATTCTCATGGCCTCAGACAATGGATACTGGTCCTGTTAGACCTCAGTGCTGCATTTGATACAGTTTATCACAATATTTTACTACAGAGGCTTGAATATGATGTTGGAATTACAGGAGTAGCTCTAAAATAGTTTAAATCATATCTAGCTGATAGATTCCAGTTTGTAAATGTAAATAATAAATCTTCTTCATACACCAAAGTTAGTCATGGAGTTCCTCAGGGCTCAGTGCTTGGGCCAATACTCTTTACTTTATATATGCTTCCATTAGGTAAAATTATTAAACAGCACGGGATACATTTTCATTGTTATGCTGATGACACACAATTATATTTGTCCATGAAACCCAATGAATCCAATCAGCTACTTAGACTACAAGCATGTCTTAAAGACATAAAAACCTGGATGACCCTTAATTTTCTCCATTTGAACTCAGACAAGACTGAGGTTTTGGTTTTTGGACCTGAGCACCTTAGAAAGAATTTTTCAGTCTTTCTCCCTTCTTGGATGACATTAATCTGTCCTCTAGCTCTAATGTTAAAAATCTTGGTGTTATTTTTGATCAGGACATGTCTTTTATCCCCCACATTAAAAACGTTACTAGAACTGCCTTCTTCCATCTGCGTAATATCACTAAAATTAGAAACATCTTATCTAAAAATGATGCAGAAAAACTGGTCCATGCATTTGTCATGTCTAGACTGGACTATTGCAATGGTTTATTATCTGGATGTCCAAATACTTCTTTAAAACGTCTTCAGTTGATCCAAAATGCTGCTGCCAGAGTCTTAACTGGAGTTAGTGGGAGAGATCATATTTCTCCAGTTTTCGCTTCTCTCCATTGGCTCCCTGTCAAATTCAGAATAGAATTCAAAATCTTACTTCTAACCTACAAAGCTCTCAACAACCTAGCTCCATCTTATATTA